TCCAGGTGAATATATATTAAATAAATAAAATAAAAATAAACAAGCTCGTGTTCCGACCAGGCGTGATGCAGATATTTTTTTTTTTTTTAAGTTGTGCATCTAAATCAAGGATGCCGCAATTAAAAACTTGCACACTAAAATTAGCTCACGTTATTTTCACAGAGTTAGGGGAATGATTTTCAGGTGGGGGAGCTGATTCCCTGCCCCGTTCCATGTTCCTCCTTTCCTTGGCGACGAGCCCGTTTTGAATGCTGGTTTTACGAAGTAATCGAGTCATCAGCATTTTAAACGAAGCGCGCGCAGCAAGAAATTCCCGACTTTATTTTAACCTTTAATTTGGACTAAGGTAAAGTTAGCGAGTGTCCAGAGTACAAATTGGGACCGCCTCATGGCCAAGATTGTTGCTTAGTTTGGTTTCATCACGAAGTCATCCTAACCAACATGTGTAAATGACTGGCAGGACAGGAATTAGGAGAGATAGCAAAAGGATAAAAGAGTTATAAAGGAAAGGAAATAATGGAGAGCCATGATCATGAAGGGACACGTCACATAGAAGAAGAAGAAGGAGGAGGAGGAGAAAAAGAAACATATGCCTGTAATTATCTAAAATAGAATTATACTTTTAAAATCAATTACTATACGTAGAAGCGGGGCGGGCTAATCCCGAAACCCGACCGTGGGTGGCGACAAGCCTAATTGGGGGCGGCGCGTAGTGACCCTTGCTATCAACTTTTCCTTTTTTTCTACCTAAATTTATATACGTTACAAATGAAGCTAATCAAAATTGACTGTTAAAAGGCTGAACACATTTTTTCCCGGATTGGGGGGGGGGGGCTTTTTTATTCTCCCAACTCCGTGAATTCGTTTTTCGCATGCTAAGTTTCCACAAACCACTGCATAAAATTAATTATCTTTTATCCATAATGTTGAATGTTTTAAATTATTTAACTTTTTAACAAGAAAAATCTCAAGTTCATGTAAAAAAATTGCCGCAAAGCATTGTTGATTTGTATAAGATGGAACGATCTCTCATGACATGCCTCTAATTTGTATTTAGATATACATTTTTACAATTTTTCTATTTGAATTTTTTACCTATATTTCATATAATTCATTTTGTACATTTTTGTACTCCGAGGAGCTGCATTCGCTGGTTCCCAGACTTCATGAGTTCAAGCGCCCTAAGAGGCTGGCATCGCGCTCTCACCCTTTCACTGTCGAAACTCCTAAATGTAGCCGTCTCTTCTACTAGCTTCATGCCACGCACTTCTCGCCTGTGGAACTCCCTTCTCTATTCCAGTTTCCCTGAGAGCTATAATCTCCAACTATTCAAATGTAATGTTAATCGACATCTCAAGTTGCCTTGATCTATCCACTATCCTTCTCCCCATCCTTTCCTCTATCACTCCTATCTGATCTTGCTCCAAATCTTCTGTAACCCCTTGCGTCCTAGTGGCTTCCCGCCTTGCTTGGGATGAAACGCTTAAAATAAATAAATAAATAATAAAAAAATAAGTTACAATTATTTTTAAAATTTATATGACTACTCCTTACTTAAGACGTAGTAGAATTGGTTCGGGATTGAGTACGAGACTTTTATATAGGCCCTGAATATATGTCTAACAAATTCAGTGGATATTGCATTATACTTAAATGTATTTTTCTTAGGTCAAACTAGTAATAGTTATTTTTTTAATGTACGTGGTAACTTGAAATATGGCAGAAAGCAAACAGTTATCTTGAAAATTACACTAATATCGTCTGTAACACGCATTATGATTTTTACACTTTATCCCCCGTTGCATTAGTAACCTCGCACCAGCTACCAAAAAGGAGCAGCATCTCCGTCAACATATTCTTCAACTCGTTACGGAGAAATTATTTAGCGACACAACAGGATAGAAGATAATTTTGTGTACGTTAGATTCTGCTTTCAAAAGAAGAATTAGCGTTTTCGTTTCATTACGAAATCATCTGGGTCGATCCACTGGTTTAATGAATTCAAGAAGAGAAGAGGAAAAAATAAAAATAAAAAAAGAAATAAATAAATAAAAAGATAACATATTTCGATTGTATTTCTTCTCCTTTCAATTTTCACACTCTGTCTCTCCGTGAAAATGCCGGTCGTTGTAAGTTGTGAATCCGCGTTCATCTTGACTTAGATTTGCACAAAGAAAATCAGAGAGAGAGAGAGAAAAAAAAAAAAAAAGAAGATATTTGATCTAGTTAAACTGACATCATTTGCACATAATATGGAATGAAATAACGTGTTTGGAACTGGAAAAGAAAGAGAGAAAGAAAGAAAGAAAGAAAGAAAGAAAGAAAGAAAGAAAGAAAGAAAGAAAGAAAGAAAGAAAGAAAGAAAGAAAAAAAGAAAGAAAGAAAGAAAGAAAGAAAGAAAGAAAGAAAGAAAGAAAAGAAAGAAAGAAAGAAAAGAAAGAAAGAAAGAAAGAAAGAAAGAAAGAAAGAAAGAAAGAAAGAAAGAAAGAAAGAAAGAGAGAAAGAAAGAAAGAAAGAAAGAAAGAAAGAAAGAAAGAAAGAAAGAAAGAAAAGAAAGAGCTTGAAATTCTGAAACAGCTGTTAACAACATCATGGGAATTATTGGACATGATTTATTTAAGAATATAAACCTGCAGATTTTTTTTTACTCTCGATTTTAACGGGAATAAAAGCCAAACAAGCAAAAAAAAAAAAAAAAAAAGAAAAACGTGGAAAACCGAAATTTATAATGAAAATTATTAAATTATTCTTAAATAGTCTTCAAAAATGCAGTGCATATTTATTTTTAAATGGATAACATATTTATCCGTTCATTCACAAAAATCTCCTTATTTTCACCCACCCACGTAGAAAAGAACACACGTACATTTATGGAAACGCAATGAAGCGAGACGCATTCAGTCATACATAGGGTGTTGAAAAGTTCTCGGCAATACCAAATCCTCGAAATACTGTCAGATAACGAAAAGTCAGAATTTTAATTTTTATTTTTTTCTTCGGTGGGTGTGCTTCATCACTGGGTCGAGAACTTTCAGCTTTTTACTCATTTCTAGATAAACATTGAATTGCTTTCAAAGGATTATATACTTGCAAGTATTAAATTCCAAATTTTTGATTAAACTATTCTATATATATATATATATATATATATATATATATATATATATATATATATATATATATATATATATATATATATATATATATATATATAAAAAAAAAAGTTTCAAATTAAAATTATAATGTTTTATTTTATGAAAAAGTATTTATATATATATATATATATATATATATTCTTTATACGTTATTTTTAGAGATTCAAATATTTAAGTAAATTCTGTTTATAATAAACAGTATTAACAAAATTTTCCGGCATGAATGTCCGATAAATCTCATAGACACAATCTGTGTCCTCCGACAGGAATCGAACCTACATACTAAACGAAAACGTCATAAAGCCTGACGTGCGATACCATTTAGCTATAGATATACCCATATTTACTGTAGTCAAAAACTACATTTGTATTTAAAACAAACATCGCGCGTTACACGTATATGTACGGTAAGTGTGTGGGTATGCATGTATGTATGTGCGTGTATGTGTGTTTGTATTTGTATATATATATATATCCATCCCAACATCAACCAAGGAGTCTCCCAATAAAAAAAAAATTTTGAAAACTCGCTACGAATTGGCGATCCAGTTTTATTAGTCTCATTAATGAAGAAGCTTGGATCTGTTTCGAAGCAGTCTGTATTATTCTTGTAGGCACAGTCTTTTTCAGACCTAGTCGGTCATTGCTCTTTACAACCTCGTTTCTCTTGTATCTATAAGCAACGTCTGACTTATTACCATTTCTCTATGACCCACTCCGACAAAAGCTTTGGTTGAGCAATCCAAAAAGTGACTTAAACCAAAGATTTATGAGTTCAATACCTGGCCACAGCAGAAGGACCAAAAGCCTGGAATGTTGACTTACTAAATGGAATTAACTGAAACTGAGATATCCAAAAAAGGCATGGCACGTGGAATTAGACCAATAGACTAAATAAAGGGTTCGGTTCGAAATTTCAACGTATTTCCGGAAATCCGGAGCGTACAACGGCCGAACCGTTGTGAAATCTGACTATAAAGATGAGGACAACAGTCCGAACGATGTAAATAGTGTAAGCAAATTTTCATCTATGGAATTTTGAATATTATAATAATGTCTACATTACAGCGAAGTTAAGACCTACAAGAATAGAGAGGAAGGCGTTGAAGATATGTAGAGATTCATTGTCGAAGAGACGATCAACAACCACCAGTGACATTTCCATGGAAAGCGACCAGACGAAATACATTCCTTAAATCATCTAGTTCTAAGATTCATGTCTAAAACCCACCATGCCACGCACATTGTAGAGAACCACCGTCATTCACTTCGTACTCCACTCGGGCAGCTTCTTCCAACGAACCGACTCCGAAGTGGATGCTTCCCCGGTCACTAACCTGTTCATGTCTAGGGTTAACCGTTATTTTCCACCTTACAACCACTTCCTTAATGACCAGATGTCGCAAGCCTTTCGCTTCTCTATCGTTACTCCCACGGAGAGTGATCAGATGAACCTCACTCCTTAGTTTCACCTTCGCGGCTAAAATCCACCCTTCCACGCACATTGCAGCGAATCGCCCCCATTCCCTTTGTATTCCATTGGTCAGACGTAAGTTCCACACGTGCAGTTTCATCCCACGAACGGGAACCAACTTCTAATATGTTGCTTCTCCGATCACAACAGTTTTAACCTGTTCTAAATCTAGGGTTAACCGTTATATTCCACACATATCTACACAAGCTGTACCTCTTAATCTGTAACACTCTAACTTGAGTGGCTCTTGGGCTTTGTACAGAGTGAACATGGTTGTAAAAAATAAAAAGATTAACACCTTTCGTGAGTCGTACAAAATAAAGTAATAAAGTTTATTTTCAGAAATATTTTTTTTTTTAAAAATTGGGCTAACAGCCATATCAAGTTGAAACACCGTATTTCCAAGATCACCGAAGTTAAGCAACGTTGAGCCTGGTCAGTACCTCTATCGGTGACTATTTGGGTATACCAGGTGCTGTAAGCTTAGATGTCCGTGGAGTGTAATGCATAACAGCTCTGAATTGGATGTTCATGAGCCGTGTTTCAATTCCAGTTGGGTTCTTTATGTTCAATTACGCTTTGGGAATCGTATGAGCCGCCTTTTATCTCCATCTATGGGTTAATTAGTAGGACTTGCATCAGTAAAAAATTATTATTGCTAAAAAAGTGTTTTACAATGTAAAAGTATTTCCTGGCTTTAAATAACGTACAGAATGTTGATAAGCCATAAAACACAAATCAATCAATCAAGAAAAGCAACTGTTGGGTTCTTAAATTCCAAATCGATCAGAGGTAAAAATCAGGAAATACCAGTTTTTGGGGTTTTTTATGAACAGGAAAGTGAAACTGAAATTATGCTTATCAAAAGACAAAGTCTTTAAATTCTAAGGCGGACTTTTTAAGAAAAAGAAAGATGGCTATACACGTGAGTGGAAAACATGAAGGTAATTCTTTTTATTAATGTCTTTTTTTATGCAGCATATAACTTACGAAGACTGAAGAACTGATTCTCCAAAATATTGCAATATCAATATTTAAAACACAAACAAGGAATTCAGTTATTTGGTAAAATTGGTAACATCTGTAAATTAGTTTATATTATTTTTATTGATGAAAGAAAAGGGTATACAGGATAACTATTTTAATGAACTCTCCTCTATAGTACCTAGACTCTATGAAATTATGCGAAGCACTAGATTGGTGCCAAGATCTGATTTTACAGGCTATATGTAACTGTAAGTTCTATGCTAAATGTATCTTCTATCGCACTTCTCACTTGTGGAACTCTCTTCCGGCTTCTTGCTTTCCAGTCAAATTTGATCTTCAAAACTTTAAATGCAATATCAATCGGTATTTTTTGTTTTCTTAATATCTGTTCTTTTATTGATCTGGACCTTTAACAATGTTTTCGTGTTTCTAATATATTTTTTCATACATCTTTGTAGCTTAGTGGCTTTGTTGTCCTGCTTGGGGTGAAATGATTAAAAAACACACCTGAATGGCTGTGTGTGCAATGGATGAAAAGTTTTTACAGTAACAATTAAGATGAGGAAAGAAGTCGGAATTTTTTTTAAGTGTAAAAATAAACTTTCTGATATTTACAGCTTTAGTGCATTAAGAGGGATGTACTGGGTTGCATAAAGATTATTGGCGCAGAAATGGGAAACAGGGTGGGGCGAGTTCTGGTGTGTTTAGAATCGCACTAAGGCTCTTCAGAAAGGCAGGAATTCATCTCGTCATCCCACAGCTATGGGTTAAATAGTAGCATATACTGGTCTCTAAAAAGACAATGCTGAAAGCCAATGTGGATAAGTCAAGGAAATTAATCCATTATCTTTCCCAATAAGTCATAGCAATTCATAGATAATAATTAAAAGGAAGCTGTGGAGAGCCATGATCACCTATGCCTTGGAGAGACATTGTTTTAAATTTCTGTATATGTAAAAAAATTAAGCATTTATTTATATATAAAATATAACTATTTTTATTTTTTAAATTTATTTAGTAAAAAAGATAAAATTTTCTGAGGCTAAATACAGTTTGGATCAAAAAAGTTTCATCTTTGTTGCCTAAATCCTTATTTAATATTCACATGTTTATTATTATTATTATTATTTGTGTAAGTTATGTTTCCTGCTTTGTATCCTGTAGAGCCGGGTCCAAACTATGGTACTTATGCTATATAGGAGAATTGTCATTTAATTGATAGCATTTTTCTTAGTATATGTGATGTTCCTAGTAGGGCGATTTTCTGGCCAACCTTATGTTGATGTTACCTGGAACACTGTTAATAAAATTGTCCATTCCTTTTATCACGGGGCCCAAAGCTCCGATTACTATTGGCACAGTATCAGTTTTCATTCCCCACATCCTGTTAATCTCGATCTCCAGGTCCTTGTATTTGGAGAATTTCTCGATAATTTTCATGGAAGTGTTTCTCTCATATGATACTGCTATGTCATTAAGCATACACTTCCTGAATTTCTTGTCTTTTATGATAATATCAGGTCTTTTGGTTTTTATTTCCTGTCAGTTTGAATTGGCATGTCCCAAAGGATAATTACATCGTTATTTTGGGTAACTATGTCTGGTTGCTGCTCATACCATCTCTCAGTGGTTTCGATTTGGTGCTTCCAGGGCAAATGTCTCTACCTTGTTATGTCAGTTCATTTTTTTTCTCTACTTCTTGAGATAATATGGTCGATAGTTTCATCATATTTACCGCAGATCCTGCATTTCGGGTTAGTTCCATCCTTGATTATATTAAAGTGATAGGATCTGGTTGCGAGGCTTTGGTCCTGAGCTGCAATAATTAGGCCTTCTGCCACGATTTTCATCTCAGCCACTGGTGTGTCTTCTGTTTGTCCACATCTACTTCTTTCATTCTTTTTAGGTATTTGCCATGCAATGCCTTGTCCTCCCATATATATATATATATATATATATATATATATATATATATATATTGTAATTTCATTTGGCTAAGTTGTTTTGCTTTCTGTTTTACTCGTTTGGCGTAGCTATTATTATTATTATTATTATTATTATTATTATTATTAAATATCGCACGGTTTTCACAATATGTCGGAATATAATTTAAATCTCCATGGACATACAATGACAGTGGGATAATAGAATATTTGGCTATCTACCAGAATTATTTAGCCCTAATGTTTATGCGCAATTTATATACGTTGACAAGTTAACGTATTACTTTATTGTTGATTTTCTTGCCGCTGATGATGTCCCTGAGTCCAGGGAGCGACGTACACTTTAAGCCACAGGTTTTGCAAGCAAACTTATCAATTTCTGCATTAGTATCAAAGTGCTGTGTCTTGAAATACCTCTCGCTGACCTGCACATTCTGTTACATAGATTGCAAATTATAGTATTCGGCCTATTTTATTTTTCATCTTACACTCTAGCGAGACGGCAATACCACTAAGATGCAGGCGAGACGGGGTTACAAGAAGTGAAAGTGAAAGTGAAAGTGAATAAGAAAACTGAGAATGCGTAGGATTGATGAAAGATGGAAAAGCACAGGTTGCAGAAGACAGAAGATGGCGATTGACGTTGCATTTCCATTTTTGAAGATAATAGATATCAGAGAAGCAAGAAATTGGTTTTGGTTTATTGGTTTATTTAGTTTTACGTCATATCAACCTTAAAGGGATTTTTTTTATTAATAGGTTTGTATGAACATAGAAAGTATTCTTTGTAAGAAATCAGTTTGTAGATCAGGTTTCATTGACGTATTTTATAAAGAGGATTTTTGTCGAGAGTCAAATGTATTGCTGTTATTTTTACTATAAAATCTATTTTTATACCTTCATAGTGTTTCGACCACAGGTTGGGTGTTCACTATTCGCCCATAGTTGGAACCCTAACAGGTGCTACCACTTCAGGTCAAGGTGGACTTGGGAATAATTATCAATTAAGAGGTGGTCCCACGCTTCTCAAAACCTCCGGATCGAGAAATCGAAAGGGTTTCCAATGGAGGGTAGTGTAAGAAAAGAAACTATCAGAGTAGAAGTCATGATTACACCTAGCTTATTCAGCAGTAAAACACTGAAATCTATTCATGTAGTCGGCACACCAGGAACAAAGTAGTTGCCATAAAAATATTTGTAGAAAGACAGTGAGAACCCACGTCTTGTTGGTGAGAAAGTGAATGCCTCGTCAATCATTGGATTTTGTCAAGACTCTCGAAATGTAGAGCAGGAGCACCAGGTCAGCATTCAACATATGCAGTTATATGCAGTTATATGCATCGACATATGAAATGCTAGCCTAATATCGGTGCACCTGTGACAACTTTTGACAGAACAGGATTTAGAAGAGATAGGAAAAAAGGCAAAATTTACTCAGTGCTACAAAGAATAAGAAAGTATGGAAAGCCATGATCGTCAGCGTCTTGGAGGGACATAGCATATAAAAGAAGAATGGGTAGGATTTACAACGTATATGCAACGCCAATCGCCATCTTCTGTCTTCTACAAATTCAACTATTTCAACGCACTGTCATATCAAACACTATTTTGCTAAACAGCTCGTCAGGTGTTTTTGTAACAGGACAAAGTGTATATAGGTTATTAAGGGAAGGTCCAGTATTTACTTCAATGCGATTATCAACCGATTTTGACGTCCTGAGATAGTAGGCCCACACACATATACACAAAGACCCCATATATATATATGTTACGGTTACACAAAACCCTTTCATAAAGAAATAAAATAAAAAGATAAATAAATCTCCATAGACACGTAAACCAAGCTGGGAGAAAACATCTTCCGTTTTAAATTTAAACACCCCTACCTTACCCTGACTTGACATCTATGAATGTAACTCTATACTGATACATATTATTAACACCAAACACACCTCCCTATTTAAACAATCGACCTGGCTGTTACCATGGAAATGTTGATTTCAATTATGAATATGCTATTAAAACACGTAAATTTCAGAAATAAGTTATTCCAAAATAAGTTTAGTTTGAAGATGGAACAGAGCTTACTTTAATTCAATTTAATTCAAATAATTATAGTTTTAGACTCTTGTTTTGAAACATGAGACCTCTTATGTAGCGTGTTGGAACCATATTTTTAAATAAATAATTATATATGTATATATATATATATATATATATATATATATATATATATATATATATATATATATATATATATATATATGTGTATATAAATATAAATGTATATATATGCAATTTTATATATATATATATATATATATATATATATATATTTTTTTTTTTTGCATTATTTATATATTATATATGCCCGGTACTTATTGGAAAGCGCTCAATATCAGTGATAGAACTAACATATTTAGTTGGATTGGTGTGAGTTTGTAACCTTGAGTTTCACGCTATTTGCGATCATCAGACAAACTGATTAATTTTAAACTTTTGTATTTATATATGGTTGCGTATATCGGTGTTTAGCATAAAACACCGATATA